CTTCACTCTCCACCACTCCGGGACAAAGTTCAGGGCCATGTCTACCTCCAAGAGGTGACTTTAATACAAGTCACTTCTAGGAAGCAGTCCTTCCTAAAAACAAAAGAAATTTGAAACCACATGGTCTGGCTCCAAAATCTGTGCTCTGATCCTCTGTCCTTATTGTACACATATATTATTTTGCAAAGATGAAAAATAAAGCCATCATCCTTCTTCAGATCCATTGGCAATAATCCTCAGTCCCCCACCACGCCTTTACCTTGTGTCCTTCCATTTCTCCAACAGACTGGTCCTCTTCGTGCGGGTCCCCAGAGCAGTCAAGCATCTCAGGGTGCCAAACCCCTGCAGCCCCCTGGCTTCCCTCTTTAATAGCCTGTGGTATTTCTATTGCTCTCCCTCTGCCCTTTGGATGTAGCTGTCCTCCCACTGAGAGCCATGCGCTCTTTTGACAAGATGGCAATTATAAAACCATGTGAGGACTGTTTTCTTTAGGTGGTGGAAAATTTTGCAAGTACAGCTGCTCCTTGATTTGTGATGGGTCATGTCCTAATAAACCCATCATAATCTGAAAGCTTTGTAAGAGGAAATACAATTTATGCACCAACCTAATAAAGAGAAAAATAGTTTAGCCTAACCTGCCTTACATATACTCCACACTCACAGAACCCTACAGTCGGGCAAGGTGGTCTAACAGAAAGCCCATTTTATACTAAAGTGTAAATAGCTGCTGTAATTTACTGAATACTATACTGAAAGTGATAAATAGAATTGTATGGTACTCTTTTGAACATTAGTGAAATTAAAAACATAGGTTTAACCATCAAAAGCTGGGGCCGTTGTGTAGAGGAACTCCATCACTGCCGTGCCTCTGGAAACATTGAGGATGTATATTGTTTTGTAGATCCCAAGGCACTTCCACTGCACACTGCGGCTCAGCTGACTCAGGCTTCATGATAATGCAGAGGCGGTTTTCACTCCCAGCTTACAGATGACAAGGATGAGGCTCTGTGGAGCTAAGTCACTCCCCACTTTCTCGCTGGGGTAGCAGCAGAGCTAATCTGAAATCTGATTTTCCTTTCTCCAGAGACCTTCTTTAATATGAACTGCATCTCAGCATATGTTAGCAATAAAACTTGATTTAAAAATTCTGGTAACATAGTGAAAATTTATCATGGTTTCTAGAAAAAATAAAAATGAGGTCAAAAAATAGGGATTGGGCAGAGTCAGATACATGGTACTGTTTTCACCCACAATAGTGTATTTTGGTTACAGCGATTTAAACATCCTTTTAAATTCAGTTTTACCTTGGTTTCAATATAGTTTTTTCCAACTTTGAGAAAGCATTTGTTCTTAAAGGTCTAATTTTCTTCCTTTCCTATATACTTAGCTTCTCTTTATTTTACCCAGAAATAAAAGATTGGTATTGCTGACTGCTAGTTGGGGTAATATGTGTTAGTGATTCTGTGCTGTAAATACTTTTATTCATTAAAATTCAATGTAAATCAAGCAAGAATTTTAGGGCAGAGAATGATCTTACAAAAACAAAATTTAATAGCCACAAGGCATTGTGGAGATTTTGCTGTGTAAGAACTGCAAACACAGAAAATGTTTAGACATCCAGCCGTAAAATGATGCAAATCATTCCTTCTGCAGTAAACTGGAGGCGAAGGAGCAGAGGCATCTCACAAGATCGCTCAACTCCAGATTCCCTGAGAAAGTGCTGCTATCTATAAGGAGAAATTTCTCAAGTTGGGTATGTCAACTAATAACTATTTCAGCCACCCTGGTCCCCCAGATTGGTTCTGACCAAGATTCTGGGCAATATCAGAAAATCCAAATAGCTTTTAATTTAAAAATTCCGTTGAGGTGCATTTTAAAGGGCCGCACCTGGAACACTGGGGAGCTGGTTAGAGGGCCACTGTGAGTCCCGGCATCCAGAAATGAAGGGACCCTGAGTGTTTTAGGCGTATTTCTTTGCCAGAAATTGTTTTAAAATGCTGACTAGACTCTCAAATAACTGAGGAATCACTTTTCTAAGTTGTACAAGGTTTGTGACTTGGAAAAATATCAACAAGAATGGTTTTTAAGTCGTGTTTTTACTTTCCAGATAGTGCTAAGCAGTCATGGGACGTCCTCTGTACCGCTATGTCAGGGCCTGCCCGAGTGTCCTCTGTGTTCATGATGCTGCACACATCAAGGAGGAGGAACGCTCACCCTCAGCTTTCCCTCCCCGAAGCCCGCCCAGTCTTCTCACTGTGTGCTACGCTGCACATCTTAGCTCTAAGAAGATCTAAAAGCTCACAATGGTTGTCACATGGTTCGCTTACAGGATCTTCCCTCCCAAAGTCACCTCCCGTTTTGTAGCAAAACTAATTCAGAGTCAAGTCTGGGATACTGAACGGCGTGCTTATACTTTCCAGGAAAATAGTACAAACTACCAGGCTTCCCGAATCCTCACACCGTAGAGCAAGGCACAGGGCTGCAGAGCACACGGACATTAGTGCCCTCTCCTCTCTCGCTGGCTTCTCGCTTCATCTTTCTTTGCTACCGAGGGGTCCAAGCCTTGTGGAAGTGTGCTCCATTCATGCCATTTGTCAAAATCACCCTCTTTCCTCATGAAGGAAGGACCGCTACCAGGCATTGCTGATTTCCTATCGTCATGCTGTGAAATCCAGTAATGCTTTCATTCTTTTTTCAGAGTGATTTTAGTCAGTTTTGTATCATTTAATTTCAACATGCATGATGGTGTGGACAGCTATTTGGAAGAGACATTACAGGAGCCACTGTTGGTTTTCTTGTTGTCTGGTGTTGAAGGCCTGTAATGCCTTCATTATTCTGTTCTGATCAGTTTTATACTTTTAGTTTTGTATGAATTCATTGTGTGTGATGATATGGACAACTATCTAGAAGAGAACAAGATAGATTATGGTAGTCAGTGATGATCTCCTGTTGTCTTGCTTTGAAATCTGCGTCACATTGTTTTCTTCTGACCTGCTTCATTCTGTTTTGCTTAGTTTTACTTTTTTAAAAATAAAACAATAAAAAAGAAAAGAAAAGCTTCAAAAAAAAAGGTTGGGGGGTCCTAGAAGTATCTTTGTTCGCAATCTCTGTGGTCCAAAGCTTTAGGACAGCTAGAGGTTAGGACTACTTTGAAAGCATTTTCCACGCATGTCTCATTAGGGAGCCTTTTTAAACTCCCGAAATTAGTGAGCCAGAGAGAGGGGAGCTTCATTACTTTCTGAGGTGTCTGCTGCTATTTTTGGGCCATTTGGACTCTTTGCCCTGAACCAGGAACTTCTTGGCTGCAGTGTCTTTTCAGTCGTCCTCTCTTACTTTTGTGAGAGCCAGCTGAGAATCCCTCTCCCCATTTGCACTTGTACAATGTGACATGTACCTTCTCTTGCATATGCACTCTTTATAGATCATTTTATACGGTCCCATTGTTTTCAATGTTTATATTTATTAGTACCTGCCTGCATTGCATAATGACTGCACTCGTCCTGGGAGCTGGGACATGTAAGTCACACACCTTAATCTTTATTTCCCCTCACTTCCTACATCTCTTGGCGTCTCTCCCATTGCAAAAGACCGGTTCTCCTACTTCCTAGTGTCTGTATGTAGTGTCCCCGTGGGAGGGTAACCCTGAACTCTGCAGTGGAGTTGTTCTGTGGTTGATTCAGAAACAGTTAGCCCTTTTCCAAAACAGACCTGATTAAACTCTCTGTGGCCATACTGGGATTTGTGTTTTCTTCTGCTCTGCTGTGGAGTCACTCTGGGAGCAAAATCCTTGCTATTTCTGTGGTTTCAATAGCCGTGTGCCTTTCCTGGGGCTGGTGCTGCTGGCCAGGTCTGTCATTTCTGGTTATGGTCCTGCTAGGATTACCTTCTCTTCTGTGGCACTGTCCTTGCCCACCATCAGGTTGGTCAGCTGGCTGGCACCTCTGGTGCCCTGTCCCAAGAGAAAACAATGCAGGTCCAACTCACAGTTAATGGACAGCCAGGGCCAAAATGAGGTGCAGAGTTGGTCAGGGCCAATGTGGGGGTCTGTCTGGCCCAGTGGGGTGCTGGTCCATTCCCCTGTAAAGTTCTCCATTCTTAGAAAGAGGTGCCAATACTGAAGACATCTCACATGTCAACTACTAACGTCACTAATTTTACACGAAATAAAATTACTCCTGAACCGCAGAGACTAAGGTGAAAACTGAGCTGTGGCTTGAAACAAACCCACTCGCACATACACAAGCCCACACTCTGTCGTGCTGTCCAGGACTGTGCTGGTGTCACTGTCGGAGGTCTGAATTCACGGTCAGTAGCTCACAGCTGCCAGAATTTGACACTGCTGTGAGAAGCTTGTCCTGGAAGATACTTAGTTTCCTTACTTTCATAGTTGGTATGAAACCCAGGCTACATTCCAGGCATGCCACTTAGCTCCCCATCTCCTCAGGACGCTTAAGTTTTGGATTAAAATGAAAATCTTAGCTGGAAATCTTCGTGGGACTTTTGCTCACCACTGCCTCCCTCCTCATGGATTCTGACTGTGAATTAAAAAGAAAACTCCCTGTGTGTGAACTGTTTCTTGTTTCTCCACTTAATACCCACGGAGGATGATGCATAGTTATTTTTAAGGCTAGGATAGAAATGAATAAAATTGCAAGGTATTTCAGTAATAAAAGCCTGTCCTTGATGTCAAACCAAGCACGCCCAGAAGCTCTGCATTGCGTTGCGTTTATTCACGCTGCCTCTGGACTGAGGATCACCGTGACAACCCTGACTCCAGCCTGGGATACTTTGAAGCAGCCAGAGCTTTGGAGTACCATTCAGTGTCTTGACCTCTTGGTCACAGTTAGTTGGATACTGGCCTCGCTGGAAGCAAGGGACAGCTCCCAGGGACACACCACCAAGATGCCCTCGGCCCTCTCCTTGCTCACAATCCCTGTGTCCTCAGGAAGGAAGGAAGGGCCTTCCGCAGTGTCTCACCAGGGTGTGCTTTCATTTTGCAGAAAAGATGACCCCACAGGCTGGCGGCCCTGCGGCTGCAAGCCCGAGCCCCGAGGAAGAGCAGCAGGTGGAGAGGATGATGGTGAAGCGGGCGAAGATCATCCAGGAGCTGGTCCAGACGGAGCGGGATTATGTCAACGACCTGGCGCTGTGCGTGCGGGAGGTGGTGCAGCCCCTGAGAAGCAAACAGGTACACGCACACCTGAGGCCCTTTGCTCTGGGTTTCTGCTTCCCGTGTCCCAGAGGGGGCCACCCACACCATCGCCTCGGTGGGGAGCCCAGACCCCACGGCCTCCTGGCAGGCCAGAGACAGCATTTTAAAATATAGGGAGAAAGAAATCCAGCTTCCACTCTGAAATTTCTGTGTTCTTCCTTGGATTTCTATGAAACTGCTAACAAATTTTGAGCAACGGGTTTTCAATGGGCCATGAATGATGTGCTTAAGTTAATTCAATGATAATCATAGCTTTAGAAGACAAAAATATGTAAGTATCCCCACATACACGTTGAGAGCTCGAGTGTTCCTATTTGAGTAAAATTCAATGTAAAATTTATGAAGACGAGTGAAAATTTTCTCTTTTTGGGGGCTGGCCTCAGACAAAGCTCAGAGTGGTTATAACCTAATCATTATCCCTTTAATCAAGGTTGTTCCAGGAAATTTCCTGGAGGGCATCAGAATGAAGGCACAGATATTTACTTTGGAATGACGGTACACACACACACACACACACACACACACACACACTCATGCACACGCATGCACCTGAAATGTGACCGCGCTCTTCAGCCCTGAGTTCCAGTCCAGTGCAGAGCGAAGCCCTGCCCGGTGGGACTCCTTTCCTCTCTGCTGCAGGGCAGAGGAGACAGACAGTAAACTACATCCACAACACAGAAAAGCGTGTCAGATGCTGAGACCATCAGAGCAGGGACACGGGAAACAGAAGGGGTTCTCAAAGAAAATCACTGCTAATGTGGCTGGGCCACCCCACCAGACGCCTTTCCAGATATACATGTACACAAAATTTACATACGTGATTAAAACTACACGTGCCATTTTGAGATACACTTGTTCATTCAGAAATATCTGTGTCCTCTCATGACTTCTACTACCTAAAAGTGTTTTTCTACTATCACTGATGCTGAGGTGTCTGTGCTTTCCCCTTGTTTCCTTAAAATATGATCCTAGGAATGGAAATGCTAGGTAAATATGACTGTAAATTTAAGATTTTGATAAAAATTGCCAACTGTTAACTAGAGAGAATACTTCTGTCGTAATTTTCATTTCCACGAGTAACTGGGAAGACGTTGCCTCTGCTTTATTACAGCCCTCTAATTCCTCCTGAAAATATCTTATTTACTCGTTAATTTTTATACTTCTAATTCCTCTTTCATATCCATGTATTTTGTCAATTTAAAAATTATGGTTTATCTCTCATTATGTTATAAGAGCTTTTGTACATTATTCTTTTTCCATGTTATGTGTCCCAAGTGATTTTCCTAATTTGTCTTTTGCTTTCTAATCTTGATTATGAGTTTACATTGTTTTCACCATTCTAACATAGTTCAATAATCCAACTTTATTGATTAGGGCTTGGTACCTTAATATATACTAAGAAATTATAAATATATTGCTCAATAACATCAATTATTAACCCCACTCCCAGTACTTACAACACTCAGAAAAAGAGTTTATAATTCTTTTTATTTTTTTTCTTTCTTTTTTTTTTTTTTTTTTTTTTTTTTGAAACAGGGTCTTGCTGGCCTTGAACTCACTATATAACCCACGCTGGCCTCAAACTTGAAAAAAATCCTCTTGCCTCAGCCTCCTGAGCACTGGGATTGTAAGGGGGCACCACCACACCTAGTGAGTTTCTATTCTTAATACAGGACTCTTTCAAATTAACTAGAAAAATGATCCAGGTTACACATTAGGGGAGCCAAATAGGTCAAGGGACCCTTGATATAAAAGTTGGTTTGTGGTTTAAGACAGCATGTACAGAGCAGTGTGGCAAGGTGGGCTTGGTAATCTCCTTCCTAAGAGGGTGCCCTTGGTTTCTGCACCATGAATTATTGTGTGGGTCAGGTACAGCTCCAGGAAATGCATTAGTGCTCTCATTTGAGCCTTTCATAGCTCTCATGTCAGATAGTAACCACCAACTTTCTGAAAACCTAGAAATTTCTTATTAACTCTGTAAAAATAGCAATAATATTCATGGCTGTGATTAAAATTTTGTCTGTGTCATTGCTAAATATATAAAAATATTTTGGGGTGTTTTCTTTCATTTTATATGAAATAGCTTTATCTCATACATCCTCTATCCTGGCAGATATGAGTGGTTATGTGTGTGTGTGTGTGTGTGTGTGTGTGTGTGTGTCTGCGTTTGTGTGTGTTTTTGAGACAGGGTCTTTCTATGCAGTGCAGGCTGGCTTTAAGCTCACTTTGTAGCCCAGGCTGGTCTCAAATTCGCAACAATCCTGCTGCCTCAGCCTCCAGAGTGCTAGGATTACAGGCATGAGTCACCACGCCCAGCTCATGAATGGTACTCAATAAAATGTTTGTTTATGTACTGATCAATATTGATTCTAAAGTGCACAGCGCCAGACTCTACTGATAATGCACCCTTCCTTGTGGATCGACCCCACCTGTCAACCCCATCCCTTGAAAACTTAGAACTTAGCCCACCGTCTTTGTTTTTTCTCTAATTTCTTTTATATACTTTTTTTGTTTTTTCTTTTTTGGCTTTTTGAGAGAGGGTCTCACCATGTAGTTCAGGCTGGTCTAGAACTCACTAAGTAGCCCCGGCTGACCTTGAATGCACAGCGATTCTCTCCATCCTAGTTTCCCAGTGCTGAGCTTAGAGGCGTGCACCACCACACCAGCCTTCCTCTAATCTGGACATCATTTTTAGGTTACTGTGATTTTCATGCAAATAATCCCTGTGACATCTGGGTGCTCCATTCCTCAGCCTGTGCAGACCCGCTGAGCTCTCCTCAGTCCTGTGTCAGACGCTCACCACGGTCATCTTTGAATTTGTCATTCCCAGTAAATTTAACCTCCGAAATTCAGAATTTCGAGCTCACAGTCATGTACTCCTCCCTGCCTTTCTGTCAGCCAAATTGCTAGTGCTCTCTGGTCTCAAGTGGTGGCCCACACTATCCTCGGACTGTGTCACCTGCTCAGTCTCCATCATGCCCACACACAGCCTAGCTTCCATGAGTCTTTCATTCTTTTTTTTTTTTTTTTTTTTTTGTCTTTTTCCTTTTTATCGGTACCAGGGATCGAACTTATGACTGTCTGCTTGCAAGGCAGGCGCTTATGCCGCTGAGCTAAATCCCCAGCCTATTCTAATCAGTCCTTGCACATAACCCCAACTCCCTTTCTCTCTTTTCATTTATTTCCCTGGAAAAGCCCTGCCCTGGTTAAGTTCCGTCTCTGTCCACCTTACATCTGAACCCATCTATCACAATCAAGGCTATTTTCTTCACCTGGTTGCCCCAGTAATGTCTGGGGGGGGAGTCTGTCTCAGGTCTTTTTCCTCACACCTGAAACACTTTCTCCCTCTTCTAACCTGCCTTAGCAAACATCCTTTTCCATCACTGCCCTGAGAAGGTAGACAGAGAAGATGCATATTTCCTCAACTCCAAATGGCCTTCATCTCTGCCTTGTAACCTGGCTTCATTCTGTTTCAAGGTCAGTCAGTCTGTCTGCGTCTAGGGAAGGACAGCCTCTCCACTGGGCAGCTGAGCCCTCCCACTGCTAAGCCAGGACCTGCTCTGGCCTGTGTCCTTTCCAACTTCTGCATAATTGTTCTGTTGGAGCTGCTTCATTCTTATCTCTAACATTGGCTAGCTTAAAATCAAACCACAACAATTCTTAGTCCTTAAAGAGTTACCCACATTTGCCGCATTTCTGTCATTCTCTTTTTAAATTAAATAGAAGATATTTAATGTGTACAATGTTACATGTGCTTAATTAAACATGTTTCAAAATAAGCATAATTCACCAAAAATCTGTAATGAGCTAATGATCAACATAAAAAAGGCTAAGTATACAGGAGAATGCCTTCCCTTGAATTCATTTGTATCCAATGGAATAAGCAGTTTATGTGACATGAGAATAGGGTCAGCTTTAAGCCACCTACTACGCTGTGAGTGGAACTGGCTCCACAGACAGGAGCATCCCTGCGAGCCCTCCTCTTGTGTATGTTCTCTAATTTTTTGTGTCTTTTTCGTGTTTTGCTGTTGTTTTTCTTCTCCTGTTTCCTGCTTTCTCTATTATTCTCATAAGCAATTCTCAGGATAAGTGGCTCACACCACATCAAATAAAGCATTTCTGCTAAGGTAGCATCTATGTTAATTTATCTGATATCTTTAACTTTCACTCTCAAAGCTTTAAACTACAGTTCTCACTCTCCTTTATGACTTGACTTTTTCACACTTGGCTCTTTGTTTGAGGGTCTTTAGTGCGCTGTGTCTCTGTCTTCCCTCTGTCCTCTCTGTGATGGGACAGTAAGTCTTTGAAGGTGTCTCAGAGTTCTCATGTCAGATCTGCTTATTGCTTTTAATGCTGATGAAGTGCGCAGGGGCTGAGGGACTCTGGGACACTTCCAAACACGGAGCAATCTCCGGTCCCTCCCACCCCTCAGCTCGCTCCTTCCCTGCTAACCATTTAAACCACGGCTTGAGCACACGACCTACTTGTCAACAATTAGTGTCCATTAGCTGTCACGTACAGTTTGGGGGTAACCATGGAAATACTCTACAAGCCTTGCTTAGTCAAACCCAATGCAGCACAGTGTTTCACATGTGCGTGTCGGGTTGGGCTGACACAGCGACATCATCCGACCAGCATCTTTTCTCTATGTGAACACAGATTAGACACCTCGTGCCACGCACAGGCACTCTGGACGGAGGCAGCTGGGAGCTGAGGAAAGCTCCTGCCTGCCAAGGCTTAGCTCAGTCAGCATGAATCCAAGCACAAAGGAGGGCCTGGATCCAGCCCACACCAACCCCTGCTCTGGGACAGTCCTGTCTGCAGATGTAATCAATTAGTCCTTTCTCCAGACAGGACTTCACTGACTTGAAAACAGGGCGAAACACAGCAGTGACGGACGCTGGCTGCCTTAGCATTGTGAGAGGTTTCTCTAAAGCTTGTGCGCATTCAAGTTGAAGCACTGAGTGGGAAAAACG